TCCTCTGAAGGGGCTCCTGGGTGTCCGCGGCCTGAGCTCGCGGAGACGGCTTCAGGCACCTAAGGCCGAGCAGGCCTCCGGGTCGGCCGGCTCTGGGGGGCTTGGCAGTGCGCCTCTGGGCACCGCCTGCAGCAGCAGGGGGCTACCGTGGTTAGTGGGGTGCGTGTCCTGGCCACACCCCTGCCCTCTCTCCTGTGGGGTTTCTGGCTTCCGGCTGGGACCAGAGCAGCGAGAGGCGGCTCCCCCCTGCCCTAAGGCTCCTGTGGAGAGCGCCCCGGCTGGCAGTGAACTTGCTGAGGGCTGGGGTCCGAAGCCCACTCAGAAGTCCGGCACGCCGGGCGTAGAACGAGATGGGCGTTCGGAGCGGCGGCCCAGGAGGATGCAAAAGTGCCGAACGTGCTTTCTCCGGGTCCCCCACCGTCCCCATTCACGGCTGCGGGAGCTGCCTGCCCGAGCCCGGTTTGGGCGGGGAGCGTTCCAGAGACTTTCTCTGCAGATGACATACGAGGTACTAACCTCTTTCACAGGCCCAGATGTTAAGTTCGTTTTCATCCCATTTATGCAAATTTCATTTGAAGAGTAAATCAAAAGAAATCTTAAATCATTGTACACTATTTAGAAATGCACAACCAGATCTGGTTTCCGTGCAGTGACATTAACATAAAGCCCCCGGGAGGGACTGCGGGGAGCAGGCAGGTGTCAGGGTCCGCTCTCCCCCACAAGGGCCCTGGAGAGGGTCCCAGCCACCTGCCAGGTCCCCCGCCTCTGCCCGGTCACACCGGCGTTCCGGTGTTGCCAGATTAAAGGTGTTCTGGAAATCACAGCCTTCTAAAAGTTTTCCAAACTTTGGGCAAACAGGGGTCCCTCAGTCCAGGGGCCTGGCCTCCATGTCGTGTGTGGCCAGAGGCACAGCAGGGTCCCCGGGTGGGGGGCCCCAGGGTGAGGTTCCCGGCCACCCCAGGGTCCTCCGCTGGGGACAGCGGACCCCCGGAGCTCCGGGGCCTGCGTGTGTCAGAGCCGGGCCGGCAGCGCCATCGTTACCAAGCAGATCAGCCAGGCGGTTAATGGTGGAATCAGAAGACATTTGCACTCCCGATCAGGATGACATCATAACTAAGGCAGCCCTCAGCCAGAAGCCCCAGGCGCTCCCGCTCCCGGAGCAGAGGCCACAGGGCAGCTGCGGCGCCCCCCTGCGACTCCCCGGGCCGGGCGCTGAGTCCCCGGCCCCTGCCGAGCTGGGTCCTGGGTCCTGCCTCCCGCAAGTTCCTGGAGGGCTGGAACTGGGGAGACAGTTTTCTCCCAAGCAAATCGACTCCCCCCCACCAGGCTCTGAATACTACCAATAATAATAATACTAATATATTATGTATTTTTAATAACATTTGAGATGCTGCAAAACCACTTTCCTGGACAGGCAGGGGTTGGCATTTTCTGAATGCAGCTAGAATTTGGCCCCAGAATTGGTGGCATTTCCAGCCGAATCGCCGATCTTGCCGTGACCCTGTCTTAGCAAACAAGCGGGCTCTCCTTCCGGCAGCGGCGGCAGAAACAGAAGATGCTGGGGGAACGGGCGGGCGGGCGGCAGAGAAGCCCTCCCTGCTCTCGTTGGGGTTGCTTTTCTTTCTTTTTCACGCACAGGCGACCACACACACACACTCACACACACACACACACACACACACACACACACACACACACACAGAGCAAGAGACACAAACCTCGGAATAATGGGGAAGGATCGGGGAAGGAGCCGCATCTCCGCGCGACCGGCGGCAGCAGCCGGCCCGCCGCTCGCTCGCTCGCTCGCCGCTCTGCCCTCTCCGCGCCGGTGGGACCGGCCGCCCACCCCGGACCCGGACCGAGATGCCCAACTCCACCGCGCCCGAGCGTCGCCCCCAGAGCTCGCTGCAGGTACGCGTGGCCCCAGCGCCTCACCTGCCCCGGAAAGTCAGCAGACAGAGGGAAAAAAGTTGCGGGAGCTGCCAGCCCGGAGCCGGGAGCCCGAGGCTGCCGTCCCCCAGCTCCGGAACGGCCCGCCGAGGCCCACCCGGCCGCCGCGCGCCGCTCCCCGCACCTCGCCCGCGGGCTCCGCGCGCTGACCCCAGGGCACACCGAGGCCGCGGCTGGGCACTTACTTGGCACCCGCCTTCGAACGTCCAGGTCCTCGCGGTTTTCAAACAAGTTTCGGGGAGGAAGAAGGAGGAAAAAAATCCAATTATGCAAATGGCTCCGGACCGGGAGGCGCGCGCTGGAGCTGAGGCGGCTACCGCACGAGTTCGGGAGCAGCCCGGCCGGCAGATTTATGGGGCGCGTCACGGCTACGCCAGGTCCCGCCGCCGAGCATCGCGAAGTTCATTAAAGCGGTAATGTCCACTTTCCCGGAGACCTTCCGCGCGGTCCACCGTCTCATGGTGCACCCCGACCCCGCGGGCGGGGGCGCTGTCCCCCCGCCTCTCCTCCTCCCTCTTTTGCCCCCCCTTCTTCCTCTCTTCCTCCCTCTTTTGCCCCCCCGTTTTTCCTCTGTCTTCCCACCCCCCCTCTTTCCTCTCTTTCGTCTCTTTAAGTCGCCTGCCTTCCACTCCGAACAATGAACAAAGATGTGAGTGACGGGAAAAGATCGCCCCCTCCCAACCCCGGCCGCGAGCAAAGCCGGGCGGAAAGTACGGACCCAGCAGCTCCGATCAAACTGGGAAGAAAACAGTGCCCTCGCGGCACCCCCCACCCACCAGCACCGCGCGCGCGCGCGCGCAGACAGGCACGCGCGCGCGCGCTCACCCGCCCCAAGTTCACCTAAGCCCTGGCTGGAGACGGGGGCGCCGAGGCCAGGGCTCCAGGGGCGGCCCGACCCGCTGGGGACGCAGAAAGCCAAGGGTGGTGAGCACTCGGGCCCCGCTCGCTTCCCGCATCCCCGCCCCTCTTGCCGCGGCCCCCCCCGCCCCCCGCAGCTTCACCGCCGGCGGCCCGCTCCGGCTGCCCGGCCCGATGGCCCGATGCGCTCAGCAAACGCGGCCCCTGTCGGATCGCCGCTAAACTGCACGGCGGCGGCGGCGGCGGCCCGAGAAGGCACTGGAGCCCGAGGCCGCCCGCGCGCTCTCGCCCCTCCCGGCAGGCCGCCCAGCGCCCCTGCCCCGCCGCCGCCGCCGCCAGCGCGCTCCCTGCGCCCCCTCCGGCGCCCCACGCCCCAGGCGCCCGAGCCCCCCAGGCCAGGACTCCGCGCAGCCGCCGTGTTTTTCGCTAAAGTGAAAATGAAGGCAGCTGACAAATCACGTCTCCTGTGAGCATTCGTCAGACACAACAATATCCTGCAAACAAAACCCGGCCGCGCCGCGACCTCCGCGCCGGGCTGCGACCTGCCCGCTCGCCCTTCGCCCCCGCGGTCCCCAACGCCAGGGTAGCGCCCCGGCTCCCCAAGAGGCGGACGACCGGGACGCTCACAACACAGAGATGCAAGGGGGGGGGCCCAACTTTCCACCTGTCCCCAAAGAGAGCCCTTCTGGAGTTTACTCCGAGCAGCTGGGGGCTGGGGGGGGGGGCGCTGTCTCCCTGCCCCGCACCCCCTTCCTTTCTTTCGTGTAACTTGCCGGCGCTTGCGTTTCCACCTTTGGCTTCACATACATCCGTCTATATGGAGATATCTGTATTTTAAATTATTTGCAAAACTGCAACAGATGGGCGCGTGGAGATCTGGACACTTTCCTACTCGTCATCAAAGAAAATCTCCCCCCCCCCCACCCTTTTGCCTAAAATATATCCCGGTCCCGCCCACGGCTGTTTTCCTCAATTCTTCGTCTTCAAAAAATAATAATAATAATAACGTCTTGACGCAAACAGAAAGGTTTTTCAGCGCAGATCCCTGCGCCCCCCCCCCGCATACATCTGGTCTGGGGGGGGGGGGTCTGTTCCCGCAAACTGCGCTCTTCCCAGACACCCTGGACCCTCCACTCCCGCCTTCCAGACCCCCTCGCCCGCACCCCTCGCTCTGATTGGCCTCGTTTCGCAGTCCAGGCTGCCGGCTCCCTCCATAACCTGTTACTTATTTCTTTCTCGGTTCCTATCCTTGGCCCCTGGCTGGGCCCCAGGGCTGGAGCTGGGCGGGGGCCCGTGCTGCGGGCGCCGCCCGCGCTGCAGCCTGGCTCCGTGGCTGCGCGGACCCCGCATCCCGGCCTGCCGCGCCCCCGCCTGGGCCTCGCCGGGCTCCCGGGGCGCAGGAGGCCAGCGCGCACACAAAATGGCAGGTCTCCGCGGCCCCGGGCGCCCGCAACTTTCACACCGTGTGAGCATCCGCCAACTTTGATCTTTTCTAAAAAATGATTACAAATTGCCCTCTCCCTCCCCCCACCCCAACACACCCGCGGCGGGGGCCGGATGCCGTAGCGAGCCGGGGAGGGGGAGAGGGAGCGAGGGCGCCCGCATCTCCGGCGCTGGGGAAAAGGGGGAAAGTCACTTGAGCAGAAGTTTGCGCAGCTTCCCCCTCCTCATGCGACCCCCAGACCCCTGCGAAAGTTTCCCGGGGCCGAGAGCGCGCGGCCGGGCTCGGGCGGGGGCGCAGCTGGGCCGGGCGCTGGGTCCCACCGGCGCGCCCGGCGCCAGGCCCCGAGACTCCTTTTCAAAGTAACGGTCCGGGGGCCGCGCGCGGGGGAGGCGGTGGCCCAGGCGCGGGTCCCACTCGCCGCCGAAGTTCGCCAGAGCCCCGGGTGCCCGGCTGCGGTCGCTTTCTCGGCTTCTTCCTCTTTCCCCCCTGCTGACAGCTCCTCTTGCCAACGTCACCACCACGGCTATTTAATTAGACCGTATTTTTTAATCGAGATGGGGCCAGAAGGAACCGGGCGCAGGCCTCGGCGAGGCGGGGAGGGGGAGGGGTGGGGGCCACGCCAAGAGTCCAAACTCACTTTGCCACCTCCAGGCACCGCCCCCCCCCCCCCGCGCGCCCCGCGCGCCCCCACCCCACCCCAGCGCCGCCTCGCTCTGCGGGCCCCCCCCCCCACCTTTGTTTTCCTTACCTTAAACATCGAGACGCGGGCGTCGGGAGCAAACTCGGGCACGTAAACGGAGCGTTGTAAAAGATTGTGTTCAGTGAATAATGAAACATGTCCACATGATTGACTTGATCATTTTCCGGGGCTGAGGGGGGACCGGCGCCCTGCTAGCGCGCCTCTCCCGCCCGCCCGGCGCAGCCCCGCGCACCGTCCCCAGCCCGGCCGGGCCAGGGCGGGCTGCGTTTTCATCCGCCTGTGCTCGGAGTCGCCCCGCTCATTGATACTCACCGCCCGGCCCCGCAGACACCCCTGTCCCCCGCTCGGCCTCCCCCTCTCTGGTAGGTGAAATGCATTGTACCATTAAAAACGCTCTCCATTGTCGCCCTGGCATAATTCACAGCAACTAGATAGGTCTTGCGGCATTTAGCTTTGATGAGCCAGAGACTGAACCCTTGATATAATAATCTACAAAGAATGGTGTGTGATCGTCCATTTTTTCTCTCTGTCTAGCAACTAAGAAACCATTTAACACAGCGCAGCTTGCTTCTGACCTTGAGCTGATGTAAACACACTTATTAAAATCTATCTATTCTCCAAGAGCTACATTCTGATTGTCAGACTCGTTACTGAGACATATATCAGCCCCTCCGCTTGTCACTACTTTGCATTCCTGCCTTTGACTAAAGAATTTTTTATCCAGCCGAGAGGGAGAGAGAGAGACCGCCGCGCAGGGAGAGAGCCAGAGAAGGGAGAGCAAAAAGCGTAATTCTTACCTGCTCCCGAAACTATTTAAAGTCTGTTTCTTTTCTGGGGGGGAGAAAAACTCCCGGGTGAATCTCGGCGGACAGCGGGACGCGGAGAACCAGCCCCAGCCCGGGCGTTTAAGGGAGTCATCAGCGGTGAAATGACGTTGATCGGCGCGGTAACCTTGTGGCGTATTTAGTGTAAATAAGGCACTTCTGTTGCCAATCGCGGCGATACAAACACGGAGAGGTCTCAGCCTCGCCGCCCGCGCCCGCCGTTGCAGGCGACTTTATTTGCAGACAGTGTTTGGGAGATCACGATCATTCTAAAACAATGCCAGTGCCAAATGATTATGAAAATATGATTTTAATTAATCACGTAGTAGGCAAGGAAATTAGCATACGGTAATTAAACTTCGAGAAAAACGTCACGCAGGTTCTCTGCCTGATGGGTCCAGAAAAATCGGAAGGCGGTGGGCTCCAGGACTGAATTATCAAGCCCAATAACTTTTTTAAGGCAACTTTGTCAATGCTGGTCCCCAAGGCAGCCGCTGTGGGTACAGAACAGAAGGCTAGGTAGCAAGGTGGAGGTGTGGGCAACGCCTGAGGTTGGGTTTCTGGGAAGCGGTGGCGAGGGGGAAGAAGGGGAGAAAGCTGAATAATGCAATTATGCATTCTGTGTCCTGGAGTTGACAAAAGCTGGTGCCTCAAAAGCCTCTTTGTTATGGGATTATATAATGATCCTGGTGTCATTATGGGGGAAAAAGATTCAGTAATAATAATAAAAGAAGCATCCAGACACACCAATGAAGGGCTTGTTTTAAAGAAAAGGTTCTCCTGTATCACGGGGGCACGTTCACGGCGGGGAGACAGGATCCCAAAGAGCGGACAGAGAAGGACGGGAGGGAGGGTGGGGAGGGGGTGGGGAGAGGCCTGCGCGGAGCCTGGTGAAGCAGCGAGGGAGACAGATTGATCACTCGGACCGCCGAGCCACGGGAGCACCTGAGACATTGATTCGGGGAGGGCCTGTGCCGGCCTGCCCCGCCTGGGCCGGCCTCCCCCCCGCCCCAGGAGGGCTGGCGGGGTTGAAAGCAGGGGACCACAATAGGTGAAAAGCAGAGATCCAGAAAAAGCAGACACCGCCCCCATCACCACCCCCTCCCGCGAGGGGGCCGGTCAGCTGCAAACCACCGCTGCAGCCCGGGAGAGGGGCAAGGTGCGGGGAACTTGGGGAAGGGAGGAGCCGGCGAGCAGCCCGCTGGGGCTGGGGCCCGGCACAGGCGCGGCCCAGAGGCTCGGGCACCCGCCCCGGCACCTCGCCGTGGGTGACCCGCCCCCCAGATGTGCTGTCGGTGGGCACCTGCCCCGGGGACCGCCGCCCACACCCTGGGACTTGGCCCTGAGAACCCAGAGAACGATCCCTCCCTCCCTCCCCCTCTCATTCCTGGACTTTGGGGAGCAGGAAAGGAATTGCTTTTACCAACAGGCCAGTTCTGTGGGATTCCCAAAGTCCGTTCAGATCTCTGCAGTGGTCTTCTTTTCAATCCCCCACCTGCCCCAAAAGTTTAGGAACTCAGCCCCCACTTCCCCGCCTGACGTGTCTGAAATTCTCTCCCGAGAAATTCCCACAGGCAAGGGTGATGCCTCGTGTAGAGGAAACCAGCACGGCAGGCGGAGTCCCCCGTGCCTGCTTGCTGCCTTCTCTGTGGGGGGCAGGGGGCGAGCAGTGGGGTGTCCTTTATTCCCGTTCTTCCCGGATCAAGTGATTAGACTCTGTCCTCTTTCGGACCTGTTATTGTAAGTCAAGTGTGTCGTCTCGGTAAGTGACAGCTGGGACAAAAGAGGCTCAGGGCCGAGCAGGGCGAAAGGAAGTGGCCATACGGACTGGGGGGAAAGGCCTTCCCCCCCCCAAGAGCATGGGGGTGACCTGTGCGTTTTAACCCTTGAGCTGCTGGCCCACCTGGGACGTGGGGAGCCGGACCGGGTGTTCTGGCGCCTCTCTGGGGTGCCCAGCTGCTCTGCGCCCACATGGATGGGGACTGCCAGGCCTGGAGGTCCTCTTCCAGGCTGGAAGACCCAAGGCATCTCAGCGGAGCTGGACTCCAGGCCGCCTCGGGAACCTGGGCCGGTGCACACAGCTGCTCCGGGGTCGTGGAGGTGTTCTGTAGCCCCACCTGCCGGAGGGGGGCTGGGCAGCAACCAGCGGCCTCACCCCCGGGCCTGAGCCCTGCAGAGGGTTCCGGCGGGGTTTGCCGGCGCCCCCTATTGGCTCCCGTGCGTTCTGCATTCCCCCAGGACCTGTCGAGCCTGCCTGGGGGTGGGTGCGGGGTGCGGGGAGACCTCCCTGCCCAGCGTCAAGGTGGGCTGAGAGGTGCTGGACTGGCCAGGAGGCCTGGTGTCTTCCAGAGGCTGAAACTTGATGCCTCCCTGTGTCTAAGGCCCAGACGGTTCCCCCAAAGAGTCACCCCACAATGTGTGGCTCCAGACCCTTTTTCCCCGGTCCAGTGCTTCTGGGCCTCCCATCCTTCTTGGGGGCTCTGGTCCTGCCTGCAGACAATGCCCCCCCAATGCTGCCTCCACTGACCCCCTGTCCTCCTCCTCAACCCCGAGGCGGTTCGCCGCTCCTGCCCTGCCAGGCCGGGCCCAGCGCCCGGAGGCTGGGTTCCAGGCAGAGGCTCCTCGGAGCCCACTCTGTCCCCACCACCCCCACGAGTCCCACTCTCGCCCGCCCGCCTGAGCCCCTGCAAAGACAGCCACGCCCCAGCCCGAAACCCTGGCCTGGGCCCTCGGCCCCTGCAGGCTCCTCCTCAACGCGGCTCGGCCTCTGCACTCCCCGACAGAGGGGGCCCTGGGGGACGGCTGGGCTGCTGAGCGAGGGGCACCATGGCTGGCGGTGACGGTGGGGGCAGGTCTGGCCTCACAGGGTGCCCACCTCCTGTGACATTCGTGCTGGGCACCCCGATTACATTCTCCAAAGCGACGGGGACTCATGGAATGTCACCCAACCACTGCTTTAGGGCCTCCCCTCCTGGGGGGACGTGGCACCTCGTTTCCATACAGCTCTTCCTGCCCTCCCCCTCCCCCTCCCCTCGGACTCTGCCTCCCCCAGGGCACCCACAGGGGCAAACCACACGCTGAGACGCAGGTCCCTGCCCCAGGCAGGGGGAAGGGCTGCTGGGGCTCTGGGAGGGGGGAGAACCAGAACACTTGTGAGTAGAGGGGCCAAGGCCCGCCACCCCTGGCCTCAGTTTCCCCACTGTATAAGATCCAGTGATCCGTAGAGCCCTACTGATCGCCTAGTCCGGGGGTGTCCCACCTGTGGCCGGCGGGCTGCGTGCAGCCCAGGATGGCTGTGCATGCAGCCCAACACAAAATCAAAAGTTTGCTTAAAACCTCATCCGATTTTTTTTGTGTGATTACATGTCGCCATGTATTTGATGGGTGGCCCGAGAGTACTCTTCTTCCTCCTGTGTGGCCCAGAGACGCCACAAGGTCGGACACCTCTGGCGTAGTCAGTGGCTCTGGGAGAAAGGTAGCCACCCTCAGGGCCTGCCACCCACTCCAAGTGGAAAAAGAAGCTCAGAGTCGGAGCAGCGCTTGTGTCCAGGGGAGAGCGGGCCCAGGGGCCTGCGGGGTCCCCTCCGGGTCCTCGGGGGGAGCAGAGCCCCTGCTTCCCGTTCCAGGGGGCCCAGAAGGCTGCCGCCTCTGAACAGTGGCTGCCCCTTCCCCCTGGAAGCCTCCTCCTCTGCTGACGGGGCTTCTCTGCACCAAAGCTGCGGAGTGGCCTGGCGCCTCCAGGAGAAAGCGTCTCCCAAGACACCCCGAGGGCAAGTTCAGAGGGCGCCCTCAGAGCCGCGAGACCCGGTCTCTGGATAGGAAGAAACTGGGGAGACTCCGGCCTGTGGGGCTGGCAACTATTAGTCCCAGGTGAGCCAGGCCAATCTCTACCTGCTCCCACACCCCCCTCATAAGGACCCCCTTTAAAGACTCCTTGAGTGCCCCCCCCACCCCCGCCAACTCTCCCCAAAAGCCCTCTTCCAGCTTTCCCAGCAGAGCGAAGAAGCCAACGGGAGGGGGGCGGGGCCTTTGTTTGCCCCGCCCCTCCTTCCTTTTCCCAACCCGAGCGCATCCAGGCGGGACTAGAGTGCAGGCCCCAGCCAATCGATGCATTACATCACTACATCTCTCTGGGCCGTGCGATTGGTTCAGAAATAGGCATGTGACCTAAGCTGGTCCAATCAGGGTGCGCCTTGGATTTTTTAACAGGCTCCGGGGGAGAAAGGAAGCGGGTGGAGCCCTGTGGCCTCCGTGCGCGCCAGCGGGGTTCTGGGACGCGGA